TCTTTTCTTTACAGGTTGATCGGAGCCGCCGCACCCGAGAGCACCGCCGCCGGTAAGCTTCGGTTTTCCGTAATTTTTTGGCCCCCCAAGGGCCCTAGAGTTGTTTAATCGCAAGGATCGATACAAGTGTGGCCGAAAACGGCCAAACCGAGGCGAATCGCCGCCGCGGAGCCGCCGTGCCGGAATTGCGATATTGGCCAAAAAAGGGCCATGGGCCTAATTTGGGATTTTTTGGAACACGTGCAGGTACCAGTAGTGCGTTTCAGTTCCCTGGGAAAAATTCAGGGAAAATTAGGGACAGCCTGTAGGCGCACTGTGAAGCCGTGTTCGGACCCCGAAACGAGTAAGGACCCCTCACCCTATTTTCTATCACGGTATTAAGGTTCAATAAATGATAAAACGGTATTTCATGAATCAACGAATGTGTGAAGTTGCTTAAGGTCGCTAATGAAGCCCGAGTCTAGTGTGTTTGTCGGTTAACTGTTATTTGACATGTTTTACAGTTTTAAATGCAGTATGAGGTTTGATGTTTTCATTTTATAGTTTCGTGTGCATATTTTACTGTTTTACTGATTATGGATTGAATGACTGGGATATTTATGTTGTATGTTGTCTGTTTGGCATAAATTACCGTTTTGCTTGTTTGTATGGGGATTGATAATGCTGACTGAGGGAAAAGAGAATGATAGATCATGTAAATGGGTAATTGTATAATGTGGTCAGCCTGACTAGATATTCTGGGAGATGGTGGACGGACCGGGTCCGTAGGGAACCCTACCGGGTTTGTGGTCTCCCATACCGGACGGGGTATGGAGATCTTATGTGTTTTGGCGCCCATACCGGACGGGGTATGGGGACGGCCCGTTTCACCCTCATACCGGACGGGGTAATGAGGTTTATTGTTTTGGTGCCCATACCGGACGGGGTATGGGGACGGCCCTGGAATATGATTTCAAGTGTTAAGGGTTAACGGGTAGCGGGATCCCTATGGATCCCCATGGATACTAGTGGGCTGGTAAAATAGGAAAAATATGTTGTGTAACGATTGAATTACAAAAGGCTTGATAAATATTATGTTATACAGTTCATATATGATTTCATGATGATGATAATGTTATTGCTTTCGTATACTGTTTTATGGATTTCACCGAAGTAAAGTGGATGGTGAAGGATTTATTATTGATAAAAGAATTTGTTGTAAATTATGCTCCATTGGTCTTTTTGTGTTTTCTACCCACATTTACCTCCGTGACGGTGAGATATCGTGATGTCTTTACTGGGCTAGTGTAGCTCATCCCTTATTTAATCATTTCAGATCAGAAAGACATCGTTCCCGAGCCGGTTCCGCAGGAGGACGACGAAGGGGACGCCTAAAGACTCCATAGTCATATTCGTAGCTTTTACTTTCAAGTTTCTCCTTTAGTTAATTTGATCTTTTATATTTTGTGAGCACATTTTTAGTTTTAGTGTAAGGAATGTTAATCGAATTTTTGATTTCACTTCCACATTTGATATTTTTAATATACATTTCATTTTAAATTTCCGAGGCTGCTACAAAAAGTATAAACGAAAACATATATTTATTGCAAAAAATTTAATTTAGTATTACAATAAATACTTTCGAATCAATACACAATTTAAAAAATATATATATTAATAACAATATATATTTATATATAAAAATTTAAAAATAAGAATTAATAAATAAATAAACAGTTAACTTTTAAACATATATTGCGTTGTTGAATGTAATGCATAATTTAATTAGTTAATTAAGTAAATTACATTTGCTAACCCTTTTCCTAATCTCCATTATATATATATATATATATATTATATAATGATGTGGAAGCTTTCGTCATTTTCTTCTTTTTATTTTCCAATTTGATTAATTTAATGACACTTAATTTCATTTCGTGTAAATCGAGGAAATAAGAGGATAATTAGTGTCTTTCTTCTTAATTTAACCACTAATTTTGAATAATTAAATTAAATTAAATTAATTAAAACAATTACATTTGTTAAGAGTAGCAACAAAATGACGTCAAAATAAAAAAATAAAATAAAATATTTATTACTAAAGAGTGAAAATAATTTTCACAAAATGATTTTTTTTTTATTTAAAATTTAAAAACGCATATCGGAAGGTTTATGTTGATTTTTGTGGGGCCAAAAATCAGGATCCAATTTTTATCCATAAATTATTAATTTTTATATTTTTTTTAACGAGGGAATTTGAAAGTACCAGAAGGCTGACCGGAGTTACACGTGTCAATAATTTGAGCCGCACGCACGCAATTGTGGCGACGACGTAAGCAAACGTGGACGGTTGTGATCTCAACCCGCCACTAGATCAACGGTGGCCCAACAATCGTATTTTAATAAACCCACTAATCATTAAATTCGCCGTTAAGTGATTAGACGACAACCGTCCGATCACATTCCCGTTTACCATCAGCCAGCTTGTTTAATCCTGACCGTTAGATGTGCTCCGCTCCTATTTTTTATTAGAAAGCTCCCCCCTTTTTTCCAGATTAAAAAAAATCCTAAATTTTTCATTTGTAACAAACAAACAAAACATTATAAATCCTGAAGAAGACGAGCTGAGCATTCAGTATTCTTCATTGCTTCGCAGAGAGAGAAAGCAGAGAGCGAGAGAGAGAGAGAGAGAGAGAGAGAGAGAGAGACGATGGAGGTGAGTGAAAAGTCAGTTGCTTGGACTCCATTTTTGTGGGGGAGGGGGTTAATTTGATGGATCATTTTCCCATTCCGGCGTAGGATTTCGGGTTTTCTCTGTAAATTTTGTCACTAAACTTCCCTGGAAAGTTTGGGGGTGGGCTTTTGTTTTTTTTACTGATTAATGATTTTTCTGTGAAATTTCGAGTTTCGCCGGCGATATGGGGAGCAATAGGAGTTTTGATCCTCTGTTATCGGCGATAATCTCGCTTTTCCCGTCAACATCGTTGTGACTTGTGAATCCTTTTTTCCCCCTTTTTTTGAAAAAAAAAAAATCGTTTTTGAAAGTCGTCTTTGGAAATCGGAGTCTCACTTTTTTCGTGTGGAAGACGAAGTAAAATTCGGTCTTTAATCCTCGCCGTCTCGAACGGAGCGATTTTTTAGGTGAGGATAAAACAGTTTTGAGCTTTTAGCGGATGCATACGCTTTTTTAAAAAAAGAATGAGAGTGAAGTTTTGGCTAAATTCTTATCGATTTCAACTTTCCAATGAGATTTCTGATTGCTGTTGAGGAATTTGAAAGTGTTGGGTTCCGTTATTCTAGTTTCCCAACTCTAGTTTGGTCAGAAGAAAACTCATGTGGGGTGACTTTGGTTGGAAAATTCTGATAGGGTTGGTCACGAACAGTGGACCGAGTAGAGTCGTGAGTTGATTTTTTCTGTGTACTTCGATTGGATAATGACCCATTAGTTGATTTATAGAAAAGAGATTAGTTTGATTTTTGAGAAAAAAAAAAAAAAACTGAGCAGATTTCTCCCCATCTTCTTCAGTTATTATTTATCTCTCCTTCCAAGCTTTTGGTTTGTCTTACAAACCGAGATTATTAATGGGTTTTGTTGGATTCAATTAATTTCTTTCTAAATTTATCTCATTTTTGTATCGATTAATTTGATCGTTTCCTGATATAGTGGTTACTGCAACAGGCAGCAACCACTTGATCAAAGCGTCATTTCTTTTCTAAGCCCGTTTCCAATAACTCCGGGGGGGGATCAAAAGATGGCAGTCTCTTTCACTCGTTTCACCTGGCTGAACTTATGGGGTGGTAGAAAAGGGAAAGACCCGGTCTCAAATGGGTCTTCTTCTCTAAATTCATCCTCCGACCTGGGTTTGGACTTCAGGGAACCTGAAACTGTTAAGTTCCAGAGAAAGTTATCTCCATCAAAGAAGGTCAAGAGAAAGTTGCAGAGGGAGGAGGAGAAGAGAAATGATGGTGAATTTGATGTGGTAGTGCCTTCTGATGGTGTTTGCTTATCTGGCTCCGAATCTGATGGCCCTGAATGGTCCATTGGATGGGTGGAGCCCCATGGTCCGGGTTTCCAAAGCAAGGATGAAGTTGATGGTGGTTTTGCAGTACTGGTTCCTTGCTACAGGACAGGTTGCAAAGGAGTGGCGGAAGGTTCAAGTAACCAGCTCCTGAGTGCGATCGAGAACCTCCCTAATGGATTCTCCTCTGGTATGATCTATTTACAGCTTAGTTCTATTCTGCATTTTATGCTCAGTCCTATAGTTGGTTCTTCCCTGGCTTGTGGCTTGATGATATGAAGTCCTAGAATCAGCTAATGTGTTTATGCATTTTGGAAGAACCAAAATTTCTGTTTCGATTGTTGATCTGGGTAATTTTAGAAATCTGATCTCCTTGTCATTTTGGGATTCCCATATGCAGTTAAACTTACTGTGGAAGAGATATGTCTGTAATGTCATAATGTTTATTTTTGTTGTCTGTAGTCACAATAAATATTTTTTTTTTCTGGTCAGAATCTTTATTAGTACTTGTTCATCTTGTTTTGTGCAATTGTATTTCCATTGTTCACTAACCCCATAAAAGATCAGTTTGTATTTGGATTTTAGAAACTGCTGTCAAAGTTTAGAACTTGGGAATAACACAGTAGCACAAACCCGCTTGACAGAATAAATTTCTCAATAACCACAGTAAGGTTCCACAGCACTAGGCAGCATTATTAAATTGAAAAGCATGTCTGAGAAATTTGTTAGTATGCGTTGCTGTGAATGATCAGTGGCCATCAACATTTAATGAAGTTGAAATGAGCCTGTGGCCCTGGGAAGTGTACGGAACGTGAAGAACAGAGGTTTAAAGACCTGTAACATTGTCATTATAAGAGGAAAAGCCATTGTTAGGCCAAAAAGCCTAAGAACTGAAGTGCAGGATTTCTAGAACTTCAAGTAATTTTCTTTTTATTTTAATGAATTGTAAGCTGACAAGCTGAACTGATTGAAAGTTTCTGGATTAGTGATTGCAAGCTTTTTGAAAACAGATGAGAATTTATCCAAAGTATTGATGAGGAATGTCCATGTAAAGTCGATTTGGCTTCTGCTGGGTATAGATCTATTCACAGATTAACCCTGTGAGAGTCTCATGGTTTTTCTTCTTTTATCTATGAACTTGAGTGTGCATGTTGTTTTCCTTGGACAGACATCACTTTAGCATAGTGATGTCTAGGGCTTTCTACTCTTCCTGTTTTGCTTGGCTACTGGCTTTTGTCGTCAAAGCTTGTTCCTTTACATGCCTGAACTACTCTATTAAGTTACTTTTGCCTTGAGTATGAACTTTAGTTGCTGCTTCTGTAAGTTTTTTGCAAGCAACCTGATCTGTCTTTGTTCCAACATTTTTAAATCAGATGGAAAGAACTATATAGAAAAGTGGCTTTCTTCTCTTCCAAACTTTTGAAGCCCAGAAGTTGCTCTCTCTTGTTTAAACTACCTTCATCGAACCGGCTCTTAATCCTGTGATTAGTTTCAAAGAACCAAATCTATAACATATCAAATAAGGAGGGGGGAAAAGATGGTGTTTTGTGATCTGCAGCAGCTTCACCAAAGCGCAGAGAGCGAACTTGCATTTAACGAGATCGAAGACAAGGTCATTGTCGTCTAAGAAAGTGACCAAGTATGGTTCCGACAAGACCTAGAAGATGGGAAGTTCTTTTCCAGTTCATGTCATTTTTCATTGTTGATTGCAGATGAATTGATCCTAGAAGAGATAGACTAAACAATGGTGGAAATTCTTTTTTGTTCTTTTTCTCCTCTCTAAATACTAATATTTGAATATATGGAAATGTCTTAGCTCACTACTACTGTAAATAATTTTCATCTTTCCCCCTACTAATGAAGAACAAAGTGCTATATATATACTTCATACAGTACAATGTTTTCTTGTGTTAAACTTGTCATCTCCCTTGTAATTAAAACATTCATAAATCAATATCTATTTATCAACAAATTGATCGATGATTTGCCATTTTTCTTGGAAATTTAGTTTAGAAATAGGGAATCATCAAGATAAAAACTAGCAGTCGGGTCGGGTCGGGTCGGGTCTGGAAAATGGGTGTGTTGTAGTTGGGTTTTGTTACAATGAACTGGAGAACACAAACACTTTCAATTAGAAACCTGAAAAAGTGAGAAAAAGAAAAGGCAGTTGACATTTGATTGTGATTTCTGCTCTGTTGGTGAAATGGCTTTTCTGCAGTGGGTCTGCAAAATGGACCACAAGAAACCCTAGATTGGATAAAATTTGTAGAAATTATTAACTTTTTTCACCCAAATTTTATGTTACTATTTGATCTTTAATTCTTTTTTTTTTTCTAAGTGGGTCTGTTTCTCATTTTTGGGAGAAAATGTTTTTAATTATTCAAGGTTTGTTCACAGCACTACTCATATGCTTCAGGTAGTATTCGAGCTTCTGAAAAATAAAATAATAAATTCTTCCGATCCAAACAATACAGTGATTTATGAAGTTCAATTATTTGTTGCTTGTAGTTTCATAATCTTTTCTCGTTTATAATTTATATATAATCTGTAATTTCTATGCCCTTTATGTTTTCTCTGTAATTTTTATGTCCTTTATGTTTTTTTAAGAATTTATTTGAATAAATTTCAGTAATGATTAAA